GAATTGAACCCAGAGCCTTATGCATGCAAGGCAGGCATGCTACCGACTGAGCTATGTCCCCAGCCCCAGGCATTGCATTTTGACATTCTTGGGGAAAGGGAACCAAGAGTGGATTTAAATATTTCTGCTATGACTTGTCGAGTCTGCTTGTGCTCCATGGTCATGTGTGGTTGCTTTTCAGAGCATTGACTATAGAAGGCAGTTTACCTCTTGGAGTGGAAAAGATATGTTAAGGCCCAGATTTTATTTGGGTGTTTTACCACTTTATTAATTTCTCTTAGCATATGTGAAATAAGGACATCCTTCCTTGTTCTGTACATAAAAATCTTTTTTTTAAAATTTTGTTGTTAGTTGTAAATAGACAGAATGCCTTTATTTTACTTGTTAATTTTTACGTGGTACTGAGGATCAAACCCAGTGCCCCACGCATGCTAGGCAAGTGCTTTGCCACTGAGCTATAGCCCCAGCCCCATAAAAATCTTTTGAAATTATTAAACTCCTTGTGGAACATTTAAAGCAGTATTTCCTTTTTAGAAGTTTGTACATGGAGACATGTCAGTAAATCAATAGTCTCAGAACCCTGGGGACTTTAGAACAATCCATAACTTTCATGAAATTATCATATGTGTTGATTTTTCAAAATAGTACTTATCTTAACACAAATAGAAGAGTCCTTTTTCATTGTCCCGCTGAATCTTCTGAGCCTTCTTCTACATGATGGCAGGGCTGAGGCAGGGTGTATGTACTGCCTTATTGGCACATTTGGCACCTGGTAAGCCAGAAGAAGCCTGGAGGCTGAAAGGAGTGATCATCAGAAAGAGTGGGAAGCCAGGCATGGTGGCTCTTGCCTGTAATCCCAGCAACTGAGGAGGCTGAGGCAGGAGGACTTTAGGTTTGGGGCCAGCCTCAGCAACTTGGTGAGACTCTGTCTCAAAATAAAAAATAAAAAGGATTGGGGGTATAGCTCACTTGTAAAGTGTTTCTGGGTTCAATCCCCAGCACCAAAAAAAAAAAAAAAAAAGAAGAAGAAGTGGGTAGGAGGTGCGGTAACTCTGTTAGTACAGCCCTGTTCTCTTTCTTCTTTTACTTAATTCCTATTACAAGGCAGTGAGGAAGGAATCAATGTGTCCTCCAGGCAGATGAGTCAACTGAGATAGGTAAGTTAAAACCAAGGGTTGGAATGCCAGGGGAGCACCCTTGCTCCTGGGGTCTGGAGGGAAGACTCTGGCTCTCTGCTCTGTGGCCTTCTTGTCACCTTCTGTGATTCATCTCCCCTTCAAGGTAACATCAGTAGGAACAGAGACTCTGGAGTCAGATAAGGGGGCATCTGGTTCTGTGACCTCTGGGCCTCAGGTGCTTCCACTGTATGGAACGATAGCACTGCTCACCTCCCTGGCTTCTTGTGGAGTGGTGAAGTGCTCTGGAGGAGCCTGGTGTGGCCTGCCCCACCCTTCACAAATGTTTATTTGCCTTCCCAGCCCTATCTCTAATCCCCACCCTGAGGCCAGTATTCACCTTCCACATTTATTGGAACAAAACTGGCATGAGACTGTCAAGGAAGGCCATCTGATGCCCTCCAGGATGCCCCAGGCCTGAGCACCACCATGGTCAGAGCATAGAGCACCTGTTTTCTCTTTTCCACTCCAGGGCAAGAGGGCAGAGGGGCAAGGATTTGAATGGTAGCCCTGACCCTAAGGTGCTCCACATTCCTACTTCTATCAATGTTGACAGCTGGTTTTTTGAGTGACATTTAGTACCATACTCAGACGGAAAATAAAACCTCCCTCAAAAAGTCTAACAAAAGGCTGTGTGAAGACTTATTTGGCACCTCCCCTGATGAGAGTTGCATAGCCAAAGGCAGCAGATGTGGGAGGTGAGTAGCCAACGTTTTCATTGGGAATCATCTTTTTGTTCACAGAAGTGGAGGCAATGTTCAGGAGCTTTGTGCCAGGCAGAGGTTAGTCCTGTTCTGTGTTTTTTTGTTTGTTGGTTGCTTTCTTGTTTGTTTTAATCCCAAAATGCTATTGTGGTCGAGTTTTCCATTGGAGAACAGAGATGCCATCTCGCTCATACATGCAGTGCCAATACCCTGAACGCCTCATAAGTCAGTGACTATGGGATGAACTGGGGATTCTTGAGAATGTGCAGAGCAACCACAGCAGACAGGTACTGTGGCCATTCCCATGTTTACAAGGCTTGGAGCAGTTGGCACCACCAACCCCGCTGCATTTCACGCTGTGCACATAGCGCTGAGGCCTGAGGAGCAGAGAGGGGAGTTTGTAAGGCACCTGAGGAACCTTAGATGCAGTATTATTCCGCAGTCTTCCTCTTTTCCCTTTTTTGCTGTTGCTTTAGGCTTCCCCCACCCCCCATTCCACCCAGATTCTTATTTCTTTGGCATCTTAGCACATTCTTCTTCCTCACCATATACTGCTGGAGGGTAAAGACAGCCCGCCCAGAGGCTAAGGGCCATGAGAGGGGAGACTGCATCCAGCTCATTTCCCATGTGCCTGGGCCTTGCATAGTCCTGCCAGGTGCGGGAGGCTGCTCACCAGCTCCAGTGGTGAGGCCTCCTCCAGCCCTGTTGCTGACTGCATCTAGAAGGGAGAGGAGGAGAATTCTGTTGAAAATGAAAAAGGTTAGCATCATTCTCAGTGCAGTTGTGCCAGGAGGACGGTGCCAGCCCTCTTGCTGCCTTTTCTCCTGGCCTGCCCTCGATAGCACATTAATTCCAGACGCCCTGCTTCCCAAGGCATGCTGCTTTCTTGGTGTTCCACTTTGCTGCCTCTCTGGGCACCATTTAGCTCCTCATCAGTCATTGAACTGAGTTCAGTGACGGCTCTTGGACCTGAGGGCCTGATGAAGATGTCTAATTCAGCCTTTCCGTGGTGACCCAGTCCCTGGGATGTCGCTGGGCATGAACACCTGGAATCTCCCCTTGACTTTCTACTTAACTTGAATTGCAACATATTAGCTTCCTTTTCCATCCCATTCTCTGGCTGAGAGATGTGGGCATTCCCTTGTGAGTCCACGGATGCTCCTGGTAGCATGAAATACCCTGATCGTGATCCCGGCTCGATGCTGGCATCGCAGAGCCTCCACTATGCAGCAGAGTCCCCATATGGTTGGAAGATAAGCCTAGGAGAATTGGGAACTGTGTCAACCAGACACCCAGTGCCAAGTAGCACAGATTTAAAGATTTCTTGATACTCCTAGACAGCTGAGCAGAGATTTTTATCATCGGCAGCAAGTGCAGCCAGCCCGTCGTCGCTTTGGCAGCATTTGTGGAATTAATTGGAGCACTGAGTTGACAGGACACCAGTGTGGGGCTATCTCAGAACCTTCTCTTTGGTACTTGTGTTGTGTTTTATGTTGAATTGTGTGTCCAAGGTTTCTGGAAGTGCAGAACATTGCCCTCTACTGGGACTCTAATATTTTTTATTAAAACAGTTTAGTCAAAAATGTTGATGTGGACAGTAGTGTTTCTAACATGCTCAGTGCAAATGAAAACATTTGTCTTAATAAGGCTGGATATTAGGGGATTTCCAGTTCAGATATACTCTCGTCTCCTGCTTGGAGTGGGAATGTAGGGGAGTCCAGAAACATAAATTGGTTGTTGGAGTTCAGCCAGTCCCCCCAGGAACTTTTACCAGTACGTATTTTCCATGTTAGGTAGTCATTAGGGCAGGTCTCTTCCTACACAAGATCCTATTTTATTTATTTTAAATTGTTTGTTTCTGCTTCTTTTTTTGCAGTACTGGGAATTGAGCCCA